TAAGCCCCAAAACCCTAAACCCTGTGGCCCTAATCCCGGAACCTGCCGGAGCCTCAAGTCCCAAAAAAGAGCGCTGACCTCCGAAACACCATCTCTTTAGGGTGTAGGGTTTAGGGTCTAGGGTTTAGGGCTTAGGGTTTAGGGCTTAGGGGTTTTTAGGGGTTTAATTATAGGGGTTTAGGGTTTAGGGTTTGGGGTTTAGGGGCCTGGTTAAGTGGAATAGGGTGCTGGGGTGTGTCATGCCGTAGCTGCGTGGAGGCCTTTATGGGGATACTTATGTTCAGCTGTCGTCAGTTCTCGAAGCTCTGCTTAGGCTTCAGCGGTTCGGGTTTAGGGTTTAGGCTTTACCGGGAGTTCGGATCAACTGCGGCAAGGTTTCCGTGATTGAAGCGACATTTGTTCGGAAAGAGCTACCCAGAGAGCTTGAGGCCCTCAAGCCTAAACCCTATAAACCCTACGCCCCAAACCCAAAGCCCTAAACCCTCAGCCCTAAACCCTAAACCCTGAACCCCTCAAGCTCAAAAAACCCAAACCTTCCCCCCCCCCCCCAAGCAGTGAGCCCCGAGTCTCCTGGAGGAGGAGACTCGCTGAGCGAATAGTCGGAGGTGGAGCGGCCTGCACCCGAAGGAAAATTCGTCTTGGGTTTAGGTTTTAGGGTTTAGGGGTTTTTTTTTAGGGTTAAGTTCGTATTGCTTTACTGATACTAAGACTGGTAGTAAGACTGGTAGTAACCACCACTACTACGCAGCTGCTGCTGCTTTCAGCCGCCTCTGCCTCCACAGCGCTTGGGGCTTTCGGACTCGAAAAGATTTTTTCTATGCTTCTCCAACTCCGACACTGTCTCCCCCAGCACGGAACCCGAAGCCCCTAGGGCGAAGGGCAAAAACTTGTCAAAGCCTGTCTGGCCACCCACAAGCAAAACTCACAACTAGGGCTGGACACTTTTGCAGCGGCATGCGGCTGACGCACTGGGCAGGCTGGACGCGATGCATCGGCATCGGTGGCCAAAAGATGGTAAATAATGTGCGCTTGGGTCCTGCCTTTGCTAGGCACCCACACTCGCCCTCAATCTAAAACAGGGCGACTGAACAAAAGCTCTGCACCAGAATGTTTTCTGCTCCCTTTGCTGTACATCTGCATTAGATGGTGCCCCTCCTTGCCGAGCCTAAGACTACTTCAGATGCAACACGAAGTCCCATTTGCCTGATGGGGATTCTACCCCGATCACCGTAGCACCGAGGCTGTAAGCATGGGCACCGGTATCTGAACCATAGACGGATTCTTTTGGCTTGAAGCCCCAGGCCTCGAGGCATTTCTGAAGCACGCAGTCCACGCTGTTGCCCAAAGTCAGCTTCAAGCTGCCAAGGTCGGAGGTGTCCAGGTCCGTCTTCGTGTTGCTAAAGCAGGACTCAGCGAAGCGGATGAGATCTGCTTCCTGCTGCTCGCTAGCATCGCCACGGTGATGGCTGTGCACATCTACCGTCACATGGGAAGAACCAGCCCCTGAGCCTCTGGCTTGGCCTGCCTGTGGCCTCCGCAGCATGAACTGCCAGCTTCCGGAAGGCGTCTCCACGCCCACCAGGGTGAGACCCGCGTCTTGGACATCGTAAGGACCCCCGGTGTTCGAACCAGACCCCACTAGCTCCTGGGCTCTTGTCGAGGAGATCGATGTAAGTTGTGTATATTTATGTTTCTATATGCATCTATTTGTTTCTGCTTATATATCTATATATACAAAAACGACTGGTCCGCAAACCGGCTGCCGGTGCTGTGATCTATGAGCCGGCATCAAAACTGTTTGTTTATGCCCATTTCGTCCTTAGATTACGACGTCCCCTATCGCTTTACAGTGCTTGCAACTTCAAGCATATTGGAGCAGACGATACACTACTTTAGAGTAGTGAGATACAGTATAGAGCATGCGGCATTGCAGAACGTGGGCCTTTGGCGCTTTTTGAGGCCTTTGGATCTTTTGGGTTTTGAGCTTCCTTTGCTTTGCATCTCGAAAGGGGCTTTCGGAGAGGCGGTTTGGGCCTAGGGGTTTAGGGTTTAGGGTTTAGGGTTTAGGGTTCAGGGTTTAGGGTTTAGGGTTTAGGGTTTAGTCTTCAGTTTTGGGGGCTTCCGGGCTTCTGGTCCGAGCAGCACCGAGACGGTACGAGGACGACGGGCCCTATCTAGGGCCACTCGGGGCTACATGTTGGGTATCGTTCTGTCCAACCTGGGGAGGTCGTCTACTTTCCAAAACTTCCACCCCGAAATACCTCCACACCCTTACTAAACCCTAAACTCCCGAAAACCTCTCTTGAACGCAACAAGAAGCTAAGGTTATGATGTCAACCTTGCTGAATTGAGGGCATCGTCACTGAATCTCAAATCTCAGACCTTTAGGGTTTAGGGTTTAGGGTTTAGGGTTTCGGGGTTTAGGGTTTAGGGGTTTGGGCATTCTGTTCCTGCAGAAAAGAAAGCTGAAACCTTACAGTCCAAAGCTGAAACCTGACCCTAAGCCCTAAACCCTGAATTGACCGAAACCCCAAAACCCCGAAAACCCCTAAACCCCTAAACCCCTAAACCCCTGAACCCCCTAAACCCCCTAAACCCCCTAAAACCCTAAACTCCCTAAACCCCCTAAACCCGACACCCCCTAAACCCCCCCTAAACCCTTCCGGCAGGAGCAGTCGCCGC